TTTATTCCCTCTGGGCTTTTCCATCAATATATCCAAGCCCTGACCTGGGAAAACCATTCTCTGGGGCTGGAGGGAGAGTCAAATGCAGCAATCAAGGGTCACATCCATTCATTTTTGTAGATCTACCATCTGCCTGAGATGGGAGAAAGAAAAGGCGGGGGAGGGGGGAGACCCACAGAAAGTATTCGGGCATTAGGGATCAAAAGAAGTCCCTCAATAAAACCATGTCCATATACGTAGCTACAAACCACACACGTCCACTCATTAACTCTATAGTAATGTCACTGCAAGGGTGAAACAATAGAAGTTGGTTCTGGTTGACTTTTTTTCAGCTCCAGGCACACAAAACACTATAATGCCACACTTTTATACACTTAGTAAGCTCATTTATCTATCATAGAACAATATGTCTAGATTGTCAAGACAAACTGTTAACCTTTACTCTTCTTACATTTATAACACGGGATTTGCAGACCAGATTTGCCCAGGTTGGCTAAGCAAAGGGTGTTTAGCCAGATCAACAGAAACAAAATCAACACTGTAAACATCTACTTTCTTACTTAAAAGAAAAACCCCTCTGAGTTCACTAGGACATTTCCAGGTAAGTGGGGAGACGATTGTTAGCTAAGACTATGTGTAACAAAGCAAACAAAAAAAGATAGAAAACTAAAAGCATTGGTGCACCTTAAAAGACTAATAGATTTATTTTGGTATTCATTTCCATAGACTACAATCCATTTTCTCAGATATATGAACAACAAGGTTTTAAAAACCCCAAAGAGGGATTAAATTTAAAGCTGCAGTCCTAAATATTAGGGAGAAAACTTAAATGAACACAGTGCTTTACTTCAAATTAAAGCTTCACATAATTTCATTGTAAAGCTTCAGTCCCATATACTCTTAAGTGGGAATATACCCCACTGAATTGTAATAGAACATACCCTTCTGACTGTACATGCACAAGACTGGCTGCACTACAGTCTTTCATAGTGACCCCATTGAAGCAAGCTGGATCTGTGTTCACTGCACTAGCATCATATAGCAACGAAATGTAGATTCCTTTTTAAGGCTTATATCAAGGGTCTACTGAAGATAACTTGGGATCAAAAGGAGACTGTATGCAATCAAGACCATTGAGAAAGAAAGAGAGAAAGAGAAAGAGAGAGAGAGAAATTTGAAGTTTTCCCATGCCTGAAGTTTGTTAAATGAAGTTAATTGAAAATAGGTTCTCTTCAGAACAGATGCTGCTATTGCCAACAAGATTACTTATGTTTGCCAACCAGTCCTTCAACTGAAACACTAGCAAAATTTTGATAGTAAGGAAGTTAATGCTGTCCAAAATCAACCCTGCATAATCCGGAATCAAAACTGATACTACCACTAGAGGTTCCTTCATCAGATGACACAGGAATTTCACACAAACACACACATCCATTAAAACACACCAATGACCAACTTCCTACCAATTTTCTTTCCATTTAAAGAGCCGTATTGATAAAGATGTACGAACAGGGTTTCCAGAGCTTGGGAAAGTTACTCCAAGAATCCCCTATTGAAGCAAGAATTACTGGTTGGAGATTTTGGGAGTATTTGTCAAAAAAAAAAAAAGTAGTTTTTTCAGGTCTTAGCTTTCCTCTACTAGCTGTAAAGGTATTTCTCCTATAATATCAAAGAAAAATAGGCTGATTTAGTCATGGTGCAATAAGATTTTATTTGATGTGTTGGAGAGGGAACCAACTGGATTAAATGTCCAAACGCAACCTGCACATACTGCTGTTTTTTCTCTGCAACACAGCTGGTTCAAAAGCAGCCACATTTCACACATCCATACTGGATATCAACAGAGAGCAAAAGAAGCTCTCTCAAAAGAATGTGGGGGAACCAAAAGCCACAGCCTGATCAGGCCTTTATTAAGATCAAACAAAATGGTTGCCCCAACCACAGAGCCACCTTTCAAGATCTTTGAACTCTTCATCAACTCTTTTCACCACTAACACAACCCGAGAGTGAGCTGATCAGGCAGGGAAAGAAAACTGTGCAGAGGTTGAAGCCACAAAACCCACATTTAATCAGTCGGAAGACAAGATGGCAGACATTACTTGTGGGGGTGAGAACTCAAGATGATCTCCTAGCCAACACGACCCCTTCTGGAAGCTGGCTCAGGATGGTTAGGAGATTCTTAAGAGTTTGTTGCCCACAAAAGGAACTTTAGTCAGCCTCCATCTAGCTGTCAGCTTCTAACCATAGCCAGTCTCCTAGCACAAAGGCCATAGCCCTCCTGGTTCTTATCCCAGCCTGGAGCTGGTTATACAGCATCCACAGTCCAATTAGCATTGGTGGCTAATAGCCACTTATATGCTGGTCCTCCATCAATTTGTCTCATCTTTAAAAGCCACCTAAGATAGTTCCATCATTAAATTCTGCGACTCCTTGAAATGAAACCACTATGCTACACTTGATGTTAGCCAAAAGGTCAAGAACCATATCAAGACCCAAGAAACCATGTGAAGAATGAAGAAACCATATTATAGAATCAAAGATTGACCTAGCCCACTTTGTACTGTATAGTTCGGATTACTCTGGGAGTGAATTATTGCTGCTATTGTTGTTATGTACCATCAAGTTGATTCTGACTTACAGTATTCTAATAGGGTGTCTGGGGTAAGTGAATTGAAGGAGCAGTTGACCACTGCTCCCCCTCCAGTGAGCTGCCACTGCCAAACAGAGATTTGAACCCACAACTCCAGAGTCTGACACTCTGTTCACTAGCTGTCCCAAACTCCTAAATAACATTTGTTATTGTTTATTTATAACAAATATTGTTATATTTATATGATGGTTACCATTATCTCTGTGCTATTTCCCATCATGGGGGGGAAAAAAGCAATACCATGGGTAATGTTACCTTTTTTGGCTACAATTCCCAGAATATCTCAGCTAACATGTTTCTGACGGCAGTCTCTGTAGAAAGCCACGTGTCTGTTTACAGATTATCAGGTTTTATCTGGCATGATCTTTCATGGAATAGCTCTCATTTCCCTTCTTCTTCCAGAAAAAGAGAGGGATAGGAGAGGGCCATCCCAGAACAACATTTGGCCTCCACACGTTCCTCATCCCTGGACTATGGCTAGCAACAATTCATGAAAGCTTATGCCAAATAAAAACTGCAAGACTTTAAGGTGCCAAAAAACAGCTGGTTTTGCAGCTGCAGAGTAATACAGCTGCCCTTCTAGAAATAGTCTCTGCAGAGTAAGGAGTCCCAAACTGCTATGAGAAGCTCTGGGGTTATGTGAGCCAGCTGCTTAGCATCACAAGTAATAATACTAACCTTTGAACTGCAGAGCTGGAAGGGATCCTATGGATCATCAAGTCCAGCCCCTCTCAATGAGGCACAAGAGGGGAATCAAACTCCCAACCACTTAAGCCATTGAGATATCCAAATGAAGAACAATAAGGCATCTTTGGCCCTAGGAATTAAGATGAGGGAGATGCAATCCTGGTCCCCAATCAAGCCAAAATTCAGACAAAGTGGGCTGTGATCCATGAAAGTTTATGCCAAATAAAATTTAACCTTCTTCAAAAATTTGCCCCAAGATTCTTAGTCGTTGGCATAAAGGGTTCTCTCTCCTTCACAACAGAGTGGAGCAACTGTGATTTCAGGGCTGGGTTTCTGCCCTGGGACCTTCACAGCACATCAAAAATGCATATATTTAAAGGCAAGAAAAATAATTGGAAGTAGAAGTCAGCTGCTAGTTTTCAAAAACAGAAGCCCCTCTCAATGAAATGGTGTAGGGAGGGAAATGGTGTAGGGAGATAAGCTGTTAGATATTTAAAGAGATAAATGCTGTTCAAAAGCATGTGTTTTTTAAAAAGATGAACAACTGTTCTTGAAAGCTTCCAAGAGTGACATTTTGCTTTCCTTTGCAAAAAGGCGGCTGGGGAAGACTGGGGGTGGGGTGGGGGTCATACTCTACTGACCCCTCTTTTCCAAGGTAGCCCTCAGTTCCTTCCACGCATTGGGGATATTTTGGACAAGGGCCCACCCTCATCAACGCACATGTTGAATACAGTGTTTGAAGCTAAGAAAAGGCTCCACAGGCCACAAATCAAGATGTTAAACCCTCTGCTTTCAGTTTTGGTTCAGGCTGGGCTTTGTGGTGGAATGCTTGGGATCACCCCCTCCATGCTCCTTCTAACACCTCACACCACAGATGTCAATGGGAACCCAGAAAGTCCTTTCCCTTCTTCAAGTGGGAGAGGAAAGGCTTCCAGTGTTGCAGTCCATGTGCCGTATATTTCCGCCAGGCTCGTTTCAGCTACATGGCCATCAGTCCGATGTGTGTGTTTACCTGCTCCTTAAGCACCTGAGGCACACCCTGCCTCCAAAATCTGGTCAACCCCTTTCCTAGCTCCCTTTTTCAGGCTATCCTTCCTTGCTTTCTTAAAGGACATCTCCAGCTCCCCATGTGTGTGTGGGGGGGGGGGAAGCAAAGATTGAAGTCCATTTCATCGCAGGGCGGCTTCAGCTCATGAACCTGGAGGGGCGGGAAGGCCAGGGGGGGTCCCAAGCCGTGGTGGTCCAGAAAGGGAGAGGCCGGGTGAGGCCGGAGAAGGGGCGATGGGCTTGGGAAAAACCCAAGTCTTCCACTCCAGCTGCCAACATCTCGCCAAATGGGGCAAGAGGAAGCAGGCGGATGGCTGCGGGAGGGGGGCAGCCGGCCTCTTTGCACCGGACCCCTAAGGAATGGGGTGACGGTGGGGGGTAATCAAGTGAAGTCCTTGTGCCCCCTCCTTTATTTCTGGCACCCACTTCGGCCGGGGATAGCCCGGCTCCCGGGACCTTGGCCACCAGCGGGGGGGGGGGCTTCCCAAACTTTGCGCACCCGCAAACTCCTTCCTTTCTCCTCCTCCTCCTCCTGGCGGGTCGTGCCTTAGGCCCCAAACCGGCCGCCCCAGCAGGTCCTCCGCCGCCACCGCCGTCCGAGGATGGCTCGCCTTACCTGATGCACAAACACATCCACGGGGGAGTCGAGGACGGCGCCTTCCTTGCTGGTCATGGAGAGGAACCCGAAGCCCATCCGCACGTTGAACCATTTGCAGATGCCGACGCCATGCAGGAGCGGCTGGTTCTCCTCGTCCGGCCTAGGCGAGTCCGGGGTGGGCTCGGGCTCGCCCGCCTTGGCGCAGCCACCTAGGAACAGATGCGCGGAGATCATCATCAGCTGGAGCCACGCCGAGAGACCGGGGGAGCCACCCGCCGCGCCTCCCGGGCCAACGCGTGGCGCGCAGGAAAGGGCGCTTGGCCTCCGGGCCACCCAGGATCGGGGCGCCGGCGAGCCGATCGCTCCGGTCCCTCCGGACCAAGCCGGCGCCTCCCCGCGAGAAACCTCGCCTCCCATCTATAGCTCCGGTCTGCGATCCACGCACCCCCTTATTTTCTTTTACGGGGAGGGCGATCTACTTTCCTACATCGGAAGCATCTCTCCATAAAGGTTGAGATGGAGGGAATTCCCCTGCCAAGGGAGGGGGCAGGGAGGGGAGACACCGAGAACCCCCCCCCCTTCCAACTTCCATAGTATAACATCACCACCCAAAAAAATACAAACTCTCCAGGAAATTGGTGAAGTTTTCGCGAACAATCTAGCGGGGGAACTCCCACCTAGTAAATAAAATTATGGGGAGATTGTAGGGAAGCGTCTATTATTCTATAATCTTCTCGCGTGTAAGGGTTGAGAAAGCTATTATGACTGAAGAAATATTTAAGGAAGCATACACACTGCTTTTAGGATTATCATTATTATTTTTTGGCTCCCCCTAAATCCCTGCTTTAAAAAAGAACGCCATCACACATAAATCTCGCCAGCTGCTCGGCGCACCAAAGTTTCCCAAACTTTTCCCAGCAGCTCCAGTTCCCAAAAGCACATGGTGGACTCCCAAAAAAAGTGGGTCGCGCCTTCCTCAAAAAGTAGCCGGCCGAAAAAGACTCGACCCAGAAACAAACATTCCCATCTTTCCTTCAAAAGAGAGCAGGATTGGGGAAGCCGGGGGTTGAACAGAGTCTAAATTAGAGGAAATGAAACGGGGGGGGGGAGATAGAAAATGTTCCAGAACTCATCTCTTATTTTCAAAACAAGGATGGATGCGGAAGGGGGATTGAGCGAAAAAAAGAGATGAAGACGGGAGGGAGGGAGAAAAGAAGCGGGGGAGGGGGAGAGAGAAAGTTTCCCGGTTTCGGAAGGAGAGGAATCGGGTAAGAAAATTCCACTTAACCTGCAAACTGCTGGTTAGAAACGGAGCCCATCCTGCGCCCCGGGTGGAAATGGTGGACTCGGGCGGTCGCCGCGTCGCCTCCTCTCCGCCAGCCAGCCTCGGAGAGGGTGTCACCGCCGCTCAGGCAGGAGCTCCCCCCCCCTAAAAAAAAAAGGAGGAGAAGGGGAGGAGGGAGGGAAGATTCAAAACAAGAGGAGGGAAGGCGAGAGAAAGGTTTAGTACATCTTCAGGGCAACAATAGCGGGTGGGAGGGCCCTCCGGCCTTCTAAAGCTTCCTAAATTTCTAAGAGACAATAGAATTCCCCCTTTCCCTTTCACGCTTTGGCCGTCTTATAGGTGGTGGGGTGGGTGATGGGGCGGGCAAGAGATTGGGGGTGTGTGTTTCCCCCCCTTCCCTTTGGGATCTTCTTGGCCAGAGGGCAGGATCCCGGCCTTGGCCAACCCAGCTCCCCTCGCCCCTTCATTCCAAACTGGATTTGCTCCACAAAAATGCAGGGAGAGAGTGTGTGTGTATGTGTATATATGTGTTCTTATAGGTGGTGGGGTGGGTGATGGGGCGGGCAAGAGATTGGGGGTGTGTGTTTCCCCCCCTTCCCTTTGGGATCTTCTTGGCCAGAGGGCAGGATCCCGGCCTTGGCCAACCCAGCTCCCCTCGCCCCTTCATTCCAAACTGGATTTGCTCCACAAAAATGCAGGGAGAGAGTGTGTGTGTATGTGTATATATGTGTAGATAACTCCATTGATGGTGAAGAGGAGGATTACAGTACCTGTCATGGGGGAGAGGGGGGGAGGAGAGGCAGGATCTGCCCCTCCCATTTTGACTTATTTCTGCCACCCCAGGACGCCATTAGCTTCTATTATTGAGCCCCGTCCTCCAAGGACCGCCTGCCTCGTCGGTTGCCCTGTGACGAGACCAGCTTGACTCTAAGTGACCTGTTTAAAAGGAGCGGGGGGCCCCCCTCCCCTCGCCTCCTCATTCCATTTTGTCACGTTAAGCCTCTTTCTTCCTTCCTTCCTTTCTTTCTGCCACCCCTTCCCCGTCCCGTCCCCAGTTCTGGTGGTGGGCTCCTCTTCCCTGGGCGGCTTGGGAATGCGGGGAGGAGGATAGAAGCGAGCGGGGGGGGAGGTGGGCTGTGTGTGTGTGTGTGTGTCCTCTGGTGCCTTCCCTTCCCACCGTCCCTAGTCAATAACTGGCATTTCAAGAGAGAAATCGGATCTCAAATTGGAATTTACGAGAGAATTCATCTTTCTCTTCCCCCCATTCGGTGAGATTGAGGTTGTTAAGCCATTTTATCTTGGTGTGATTCTAACAAGAAGGAAAAAAATCGGGCTTTTGGAAGGGGCGGGAGGCGGGGGTTGTTTGGAGGGGCGAATCGGTTTTCGATTGATTGGATTTCGGGCAGTTTTCTGATGAATTTTGTTTAACGAGATCCGCCCTTAAAGGTGAATTCGAAGCGGGCGCACCGAAATCGGAAGACGTGCGAGGAAAGGGTGGGATTTGCAGCATATTGTCTATGAAAGAAAAATAATATCCCTCAGTTAGATGTGTTTTTTGGCTCGCTGCAAGAATCGAACCCGACCCTTGCCCGCGCGAACGAGTAAATGCGAAAGCAAGAAACGCTTATCTGTACGGTGGTATTTGCAAGACATTTTGTAGAACTGCGAACGAAAAGTCGAAAAATTTGAAAGGACCTCCGTTTCATTCAGTGAGAATTGGAGAGAGGGAGGGACAGAAATCTCATAATTGGTTTTGACCTTTTTTTCAATTACGAAAACGAGTTTTTAATTATTATTTTTTTAAAAAAATCACTATAACACAATTCGAAGGGACTGGATCAAGTGCACATAGTGATGCAGGGCTAAAGGCGCTAGTCCGTTTAAATTCTTGTTTACCTGCTTAGGATGCGATGCCGCGTACATTCCACTTTTGCAGACAGTATTTAAAAAAAACAATCGTGTGGAATAGAAATACACCTACACCCACGTCGTCTTTACTCTGGAAGCTTTTGAAACAAGACAACAAAATATTGATCTTATTAAAAACGAAATGTTTGATGGCTGGTGGAATATTTGATACTGAAGACCGGATCCATTTACGTTCATTCAGATGCACGAAGAGATGTGAGTAAAATATCGGGGGGGGGGGGGGCGAGTTTTAATCCTTGAAGATTTCTTTACTCCGAGCCTCCAAAGAAGAAAAGAACCATCAACGAGGCTTGTGTCTATTCGTAGAGTTTCTATATAACGCGCAAGACACGTACACTTACACACACACACACTTATAAATGTATCATTATGTCTATATCACCCCCTGCAACTTGAGGGTTGATTGATTGGCGCGTGGGGGCGTTGCGGGGTCCCTGCTTAAAAGGCAATCAGATAAAACTGACAGGCGATCAATGCAGCAAAGGTGCTGATGGGGACCCCTTGAAATGTGGGTGTGCAGAGCAGGAGAAAGAGATAGGGCACCCCGGGGGGGAGAGCGAACACCCGCCGCCTCCTTCTCTTATCTGAAATGATTTCCTCCCCTCCCCTGTTCCCCTTCCCTTCCCTAACTGAGGAAGCCGGGGCTTCCCCCCACCCCTTGGGACCGCCGGGGCTCTGGAGCGACTTGCAACGGCCCGCCCGCTTGGCGACCCTCGCTCTCTTCCCCTCCCCAAAACCCGCTTATATGTGTCTTTACATATTTTGAGCGGAAATGACTCGTTTGCCTTCTCTGGAGGGGAAAGGGAGAGGGAGGGTCTTCCAGGCTCCTCGTTCCTCCTCTTCCACCACCCACCCACCCCCCTTTCGCCCCATCGTGAGGTCTGCGAATGAAGTGAGGTTGGAGGTAGGGCGGCGAGGTCATGCTTGATTCTGGGATGTATCTGATCATCTCAGGGCAAGGGGGGGGGAGAGGAACAGCGAGTGCTCAATTTCTTCCCTCCCTCCTCTCCCCTCCCCCTCTTTTTTTGGTGAAGGGGGGAGAGATTTCACGGCTGGCCGAGGACAATGGCCGAGTGACCAGTGCGAACTCGGGCGGGCAAATAGTCCCTGCATTTCCGGTGCTCAGTTTAAACTGGACAATACCAGCCAGCTATTCCCCTGGAGCAAGGCTGAAGTCTTTAAAGGGGCAGCCACTTCGTCTTGGGCAGCCGAGCTCAAGCAGAAACCACACACGCGCAGGTACCCACAATCCCAAACACTCTCAAACATTTTCCTCTCTGGTCCTCGCCTTCACCCCCCCCCCTTCTTTAATGGACACTGGACCAGATTTATTGATTTATAATGGGGTTGGGGAGAGGAATCATATATGTCAGATCCTCCACGTGTCTTCAGAATTAGACTTCAGGTCTTTCTGAATGCACTCCCTAACCCTCCACACAGGGAAGGGAATGAGGATGGATGGCTCGAACACCTACCTATGCTAGGGATGAAGTTGCAGGGGTGCCAAGATGTAAGTATAGGTACACAGAAACACAAAGGCAGATCTGTCCAGGAATGGGTTACCAACAACAACAACAACACACACAAGCACATCATGCAAGCAAAGGAAAAATGTGTGTCCTGGGAAAACCAGTCCAATGGCCACTCCAAAAATGGAGAGCCAGGCCTTGGGGACTGGGGGGTTACCAACAACAACAACAACACACACACAAGCACATCATGCAAGCAAGGCAAAAATGTGTGTCCTATGAATACCAGTCCAATGGCCACTTCAAAAATGGAGACCCAGGCCTTTGGGGACTGGGGTGGTGGTGGATGGAATTGGCTAAGGTAAATATATTCTAGCTAACTTTTAATTTGGGGTGGGGACTGTGCAGGATTACACAGTCTAACAGATCCCTGCCATCCCATCAGTATTTCAGGTTATATTTAGTCCTTTTATATTATTTCAAGTTATATGTACTCCTGGGATCCTTCTTTGTATCTTTGCAAATGGGGAGAGGGGAAATATTTTTGATCTAAAAACCACACAAAGCCCTATAGCTCCCCTCTCTGGGGGATGAGAAGCCCAATATACCAGCCACTAATAAAAGCCTGCAGCTCCCCAACACACTAGTTCAGAACGTCAGTATGTCTTTTTAAAAGTGCCCCGATGGCTCTACCAAGAAATCAGTTTGTTTGTTTGTTTTGAAGCACACCTTTAAAGGATCTGATTTGAGGAGTGTGTTAATACAACTGATTTCTCACACCTGCCACTCTGATGAGCAGTCGAAACACCTGAAAAATACAAGGTAAGGGCCGTTTTAAGCAATGGTTCTTTCACGAATCCCAGAAATTGAGCGCGCAGGAGCAAGACTTTAAGGTAACTTTTGCCTGTAAAGATTGTTTTGAAGCACACCTTTAAAGGATCTGATTTGAGGAGTGTGTTAATACAACTGATTTCTCACACCTGCCACTCTGATGAGCAGTCGAAACACCTGAAAAATACAAGGTAAGGGCCGTTTTAAGCAATGGTTCTTTCACGAATCCCAGAAATTGAGCGCGCAGGAGCAAGACTTTAAGGTAACTTTTGCCTGTAAAGATGCTTAGAGTTTAAGCAATGGTTCTTTCACGAATCCCAGGAGCAAGACTTTAAGGTAACTTTTGTCTGTAAAGTTGCTTAGAGTGTATCAGGTTGGAAACCAAACAAAGCATAAAGCAAGCTCTAAAGCTGTCGTGCCTTTTTCATTGAATATTAACAGAGAAGTCTTAGGATCACTGGTATAAGAAGACTTTTTCATTGAATATTAACAGAGAAGTCTTCTTAGGATCATTGGTATAAGAAGATATCTTGTTAAAGCGAGAGTTTGTGGATCCCTCTGCCTTCTAATTGTTGGCATATTGATTTACTTCCCAATGAATATGGCATAGGATGACACCACCGAAGACACTTTTAAGCCCAGGAAGAAAATCAGGTTTGTTTCCTTTGCTGTGAAAAATGAGGGAAATTAATTCTGGGAGTGACCCTGTCCTCTGACATTGACGTCATCCTACCCTCGTGAAAAACCCGCTGGGTTTCCCGCTGCTAGTATCAGTTGAATTACTGTATCTAGAAGGAACAGTGTCCTCTTCTTCCTGCCAGCCCAGCGCTTGAGAAGACAGAGAGCCCCGTCGCTCACGCCTGAAAGGGCTGCGTTCACCATCTCCGCGCCTTTCCTTCCTTGGGATTGCGTCCCCAACACAGGAGTCTCTTTCCTCCCAGGGTTCGAATACAGCACCAAGGAAGGGGTGTTGGGATTTTGAACAGAACATCAAATAAAGGCAGAATAAATGTCTCTGGCTAGAAATCCGTACAGCCGGAGGGCTATCCTGTAAGTCAATGACTGTTGACTCTC